AGGGAAGCATCGAGAGGGTGGCTTGGGGTTGCTCGATACAGGTGTAAGCTGAGCAAAGCGTCCTGGATGTCGGCGGGCCATAGTCGCTCGTGGAAGAAGTGCTCTATCTCGGCTCGACTTGGCTGCTGTACTCTGCAATGCTGCAGGAAGTCGAGCATGATCGGATCCACAGAGCGTGCTCCTTGGTGTTGCTGAAGTTCTACAGCGAGCACGGTTCCTTGATCGATTTGTTGCACGAGATCTTCTTCCAGCCGAGGCGGCCCTGCAATTGGTTGAAGCTGCTGGAAGTCCCCGACAAAAATGAGGAAGGGGCGGTTGCTGAGCTCGCTGAGGGCGATCTTGAGGTAACTCCATGTAATGGCATCTATCTGACTAACTTCATCAAATATGATCATGTCGAAGGTTTTCAGTCTTCCAGGAGGACTGTATGCAGTATCGGCGTCTCGAACGATTCTGAAGGAGGAGTGAATTGTCTCCATGACCAGGTTTTCATCCGCAGGGAGACGAAGCTTGTACATGCTCATCAAAAGCCCGATGGGTCCTGCTATCAAGACACGACATCCTTGTTGGAGTGCATGTCGAGCAGCCGCAATGATAACCTCGGTCTTCCCGGTGCCAGGACCTCCGGTGACTCGCAGAACATGAGGGGAGGTGGATCCGGCGTCGGCGACTGACAGGCCATCCTTGACAAGTCGTAAGACTTCAGCTTGCTCCGGCGACCAAATGTGTTCTGGCGGATTGGGCACTCGCTTTGCGGACCACATGCCCGCGTCCTCTCGACCGTCGCGAATGGCGAGGAGAAGCAGGGTGCAAGCATTGATTCTAGCTTTGAAGGTCGCCTCGCGGTCTGCGCCGATTGCCCGTAAGGTAAGCTCAACCTGCATCGCAGCCAGCAACTTGCCCGCATCGGGCGAGAAAACGTTCGGGGGAGCGTTGTCTGTCTGGAACATGTCCAGGCAGAGCACGGCTTTGAGGTGCTGGCAACCTTCCGGCGCTCGAAAGGATGCACGGCGCACGCGTTCGGCTGCGTGCGCCAGGGGGTAGACGTCTTTGTCGTATTCGGTGTCGGGCGTCAAGCGCACTTCGAGCATGTTCTTCAGGAAGCAAGCAGCCCATGCGCCGATGTAGATGTCGAGCAATTCAAAAGGAAATTGCATTGCCACGGCGCAGGTTTTGTTGCTGCCAGGGCCGGCAATGTTCCTGAGGGCGACTGTTGGCGAAGCGGCCGTGGGAGCACTTGCCACGCGAAACTTCCGAAGCCATTCCATATAGCATAGGTCTGCTGCACTGCCGAGGACGTTGGGGTTCTGAGTCAAGAAATACTGGTAGACATTGTAGTGATGTCGCGAGGAGTTCTTCGGGTTGCTTCCGGGAATTGGCGGATACATTGCGATGCCGGTAAAAGAATGTTTCACCATGGGCAAGCCGGCGAACTCCATGACGATTTCCTGTGCCATGGGTAACCGCTTGCAGAGCAATCGGTATACTTGCCGCCACCGCGTCATGTCCTCCTGGTTGTGGGCTTGCTTCGGCTCGAAGACAAGGCTGTCCGAGGCTTTGCTCACGTACCCGGCTACGTAGCGAAGCAACATCTGATTTCCATCTCCGCACTGCACATCCGCTCGTGAGTGGAACAGATTCTCGAGCAACTCCACGAATTTGGAGGTCTTCGATCCCGTGCGTCCGCTTACATCCTCTGGTCTCCATCCGGGCAAGAAGTCTGCCCACATGACTGCGTGGATGTGGATTGTTCCTCGTGCTTGGAATTCATAGCGTAGGGACCATTGCCTGACTCTGGCAATGCCAACATGCGCTAGGCTAATGCCTTCTTTGAACAAATGCATGTCCAGCAGAGCTCCCATGGTGTGATACAAATGCAGTGTCAATAAGTCTTGCTGGTCACTCAGGGAGCCATCCACAAAGAGCGTCTTCTGCAGCACATACTTCCACTCCGCGGGTGCAACTGTGAAGAAGATGGTCGGCAAGCCTCCCGCAATGTCGCCACATGCTTCACTTTCTTGTCGACACACATCTTCCATCTTCTGGACTTGCCGGTACCAGTAAGGCTGAAACATGTCCATGTCGCTGGAAACCGTCTCTGGCGACGTCTTTTTTTGGTCAGCGATGTTGACGACAGAAGAAAAGGTGCGTGCCAGGCATGTGTCGTAAATGAGGCAGTGCAACGGGAAGTTCCGTGCATAGTCCAAGCACCGGCTTGTAATTTTTCTAAAGAAACTTGCCCTCATGCTTGGTTTGCTGTTCTCTTGACACCATCCCAGCACTTGTAGTCGCTCGTGGATGTCGCTGTCTGCGAAGCTGGACAAAGGGTAGAGCCAGGGACATACAGCGACCTCGATGCCGGGGGAACGCAAAAGCAACTCCGCCGTCTGAATTTCTTGCCAGGGTTCGGAGCTGCCGGCACTGCCGCGAACCAATTCGTGATGCTGCTCGACATACGCCTTGTAAGTGCTGTTGTGCTCGAGGAGCCACTTGAAAGCTGCCGCGCCGGCAGCTGTGCGAGGAATGTCGTAAAGAGATCTAGCGCGCCATTGCACTCTGACAACGGACCGTTTCTGGTAGCTGCAAACCTCGGCCTGCCCACCTCGGCGAGAACGAAACTCCACTTTGATGGTGGCCACGGCGAGTCCTTCCATGTCTTGTTTGGAGAGGACAGAAGACAGTGGCATACCAGTCGCGAGGCTATCAGCCCAATGCTTCCAATAGCGTTTATCTGGCGTCACATAGGTCATGAGCTTGGCGAACTTCTTCGAAGTAGGCGACGAGAGGAGGTCGTAGGCATCGGGATCACAGTTTGGCTTGCAAGAAACTGCAACAGGCTGTGTGCCTAGATTCGTCGTCGTGTCGGGCTGTGTAGAACGTCGGCGGCCACAAGCCGGACAGAACGTCCAGGAGTTGTTGTGCAACCACTGGTCGAAGATGCTGCTGGTTTCGGTGACAGAGGAAGTACGCTTGCTCGGCTTGTTCATGGCCACAGTGAAAACGTTCTCATACTCCATAGTCCAGTGATCTTGCTGTTGCAATGGCGGAAGCTGCCCTGTTTGGAACCACCGGCGAAGCGTAGATTTGGGCACGAAGATGTCCGCGTTGTTGTCGGTGCTGCTGAAGCTGGGAAGAGCAATTGACAAAGCTTGCAGTAGGCATGGAAACGAGTCGGCTTGGACAATATGCTGTGCGAGGATGTTGCGCTCTGCTGTCGTTAGCGTCCATTTGCTGTTGGATGCAACTTGCCGCCGAGAAGGATAGTCTTTGGTCTTTGAAGCCAGGTTAGATGGTCTTCGGCCAAGAAGCTGCTCAAGTCGCTCCGGAAATTTGAACCAGTTTCGAAGTGTGTAGCGGCTGAGGTAGGTGTCGGAGTTGGGGTCTTGTGTCTTGAACTTAGGCATTGCACGCCGCAATGTTGCTTGAGCTTCTTTGAGGCTGTCTGAACTCCGGAGAACAGCCAAGATCTCCTGCTGCTCGTCGGGCGTGTAATTCAGGATGGCTTGCTTTCGTGGCCTGTCAGACTGTGAAACATGATGGCTGCCTTGTGTACTGTCATTATCGGGAAGGGTGCTGGCAATGTCCTGTTGCTGGAGAATAACATCAGAGTCGCTGTCTGTCCGATGTTCCTGTGTCTGGCCGATATTTGTGATGACGATGTCCGAGTCGCTCTCGACGATGTCCAGAAAACTACTTGTTGCCCGTAACTTGGCAAACTTCGGACGAGGTTCGTCCGGTGGGGGAACTTGAACATGCTCATGTGCTTCTTCTGGATGCTTCTTGGCGTAGATGAGAACATAGACCTTTTCGTTGGGCACGCTGGAGAAGTTGTCCGAGTGAATGCGAGAAACTCTGTGATCATCGAACCTAATGAAGCCTTCGTCGGTACAACTGTACGCAACATAATGTCCCTGGGTAGGTAAGTCGCCGATGTGGGTGACGACCGCCCTGAGCTCGTAGACATTTTCGCAAGCGAGGATTACTTTGTCGCAAAGAATTTGTTGACGCAGCAGCCCCTGTGTCGAGTCCCATCTCTTCAGAGACAGAAGCAATGTCTCCGGCCAAACATCGATGGTGATGCCTAGCTTCGGTGGATCTTGAGCTCGCCCTGCATCGAGACAGGGCCCATGCAAGCAACACCATTCCTCAATGTCCTCATGAACGGTGGTCGTCTGGAGATATGCGGTCAATGCCTGTTGCACTGAGGTCATGTCCACAAGCGGCAGCTGGATGGAGAGGAAGCTTTCCTGGGGAAGACAGCGTCTGTACCTGCAATGCACACATTGCAGCAGCGGGACCTCCTTGCCACGTAGCGTGGGCCAACAACTCGGACACTCACTCAGCAATCGAAGAAGAAACTCCGTGACATCTTCTTGTTGGTTTCGATAGAAAGCATCTGTTATCGCTCTGGGAACGATGGGAGCCGGGGCCGTAGACAGATCGGATTTCAGCTGCAGCAGAGCTCTCTCTGTGTCGCCTCTGCCATCAGCCAGCGCGGCTGTCACTGCTGGCACGGCGAGAAGAGCTTGGATGCCGGCATTGATGAAGCACGAGCTACCGAGGTTCACGAAGCCGCCGCCGTGGGCTGCCATGTTGCCGGGCGCTGCACGAGGTCGTGCCTGGGACGCTGGAGTCACTTGACGGTTTGAATCACTGCGAGAGAGGTGTTTAATGCACTGCGCGACTGCACAGGCTGCGATGCCACCAAACCGCAATGCAGCATGTTGCAATTCTACTTGCGAAGATTCAGCCAATGTTTTGGCAAAGGCGGACTCGATCTAGTTGTGAGATGCGGCAGTGAAGCCGTTGTAACCTACAACCTCATGCCAGCGAAGCTCTACAACCTCAAAAGTGTTGTTAAGTTTTACCCGATGCACGAGCGAGTTGCTGCCTGGCCGTGGCTTGCCCACGCAACCGGCTGCAGTCGCTCAGAAAACAAATGTGGTGCGCAACAACTCCAAGCACATGGCTGCGCTTGCTCAGATCTGCAACTTTGTCTCTTACATCTCGAAGAGGCCGGAGGCGGTTGAAGCAGAAGCCGTCGAAGCTGGCGGAGCCTGGGTGTTTCTAGCTTCCATGGCCAGCTGGAAATCTTCAACGGACATCGGCTTGTGCGCTACTCCTGCCCTTGCGACGGTCTCTGCAATGTGAGCCGTGTAGTAGGTGTTCGATGCGCTGACGATGAACAGAAAACTCCGGAATGGTGATCTGTCTTGCTTTAGCCACTGGTGAAAGTTCTTGGCGGCATTCTTCATGTCCTCGGCAGTCGGCGGGGTCCCGGTCGCCTCGAAGGCGCCTGTCTTCTGCTTCTTGGCTTGTCGGAACGACCCCGTGTCCCGTTGGACTTGGCTGCCTTTGCCTAAGTTCAAGATCCTCAACGTTGGTTCCAGCTTCTTGACCTCGGCTTCAATCTTCTCATACCATTCGGGCTTCAGCAGCATTTGGATGTTCTCGTCGCGGAAATGCTTAATGGCCGCTAACAAAGCTGCCGCGGTGAGCGAGATGCCCGCACCAACGTGCCAGGGATCCTGGTCCTGCGGAGCACAAAGGTGCGAGTGGTACTCCGCAGACTTGTTCCCCTTGGCAGTTGCAGCCCAAAGCGCATCGAGACTCATGGAATCGAAAGAAGACTCTCCGTACGGTTCCAGCATCTGAGTTGCCACGGAGTCCCACGGAAATAGCTTAACACGTCTCTCCTTCTTGGGCATCTCCTTCTTAGGCACTTCCTCAGCACCACCTCCGAAGCCACCGAAAAGTCCGTCTGCCATGCCGTCGATAAAAAGGCTGAAATTGTTGCTGCTTTCTTGAGATCAGAAGGCTAGCTAGCATATGTCAGTTGCGTGAAATAGAAACTTGCACTGACTGCGTGAGAAATTGCTTTAGATCCAGTGCAACTTGTTTTCTTGTAGCCTTGACACGCCGCACCGTCTAGTCTTACGCTAGACTCGCGAACCTGTGCGAAACTCGAAAGCTGAAAGAGTCCATTGCCTTGCAAAGTTGAGGCTCGACTCGCGCATTACTCAAAGTGTTGATAGCAGCTGCTGTGGTAGTGATTGCTAGTGAACCGATTTACGGCGTCACTTTCTTGTAGGGCCCTCGAGGTCCTCGTCGAGGGCGGTCAGCTCTCTTGCGGGCCCGAGCTCGCTGCATTCTGCTGCGAAGCTCTTGCACAAAACTCTCGCCTACCTCGTGCTTGATGCGACTTAGGGCAATGTTACTTTCTGTCTCCGGCAGCTCCAGTAGTAGATGAGTAAGCCGCCCTTGTCCATGCTCCAAGAGCTCTTTCATGTCGCTGAAGTTGCACAAATCGCATAACCCTGCCGGGCCTGCCGTCGCAGCTTTGCCGAACTCTCCGAAGATGCAGGCTGGATTCCGACACAGACCATGTCCTTGGTGTGGTGCCCAATGGTCTCGTAGGCAAGCTCCTCGATTCGATGCAGCAGCTGGTGCGGCTGTAAACAGCGGCCGCTTTTCTTTGTCGCCCTGGATGACAGCCTTCTTGTTTATCGGCTTCTTGTGAATGAGCTTCGATTTTTCGAGTTTCACGAGCATAGAAGTTGTTTTCTTCTCTTCTTTGGTCACATTGCCAACATCCTTCTGCTCGCTGCATTCAATGTCGAGGTCGATGACTGTAGCGCATGGCTTCAATTTCCACATTTGGGATCGCTACGCAATTTGCTACTATTCTCACTCGAAGCAAAGAGCTGTGGGTCTAGCATACTTCGAAGAACGAATGCACAACAACACATGATACAGCCAGCGATGTGCTATGTCTGAAGCAGAAGCAATCCTCTGCAGTGATGGTGTGGCCAACAAGGCTCTGACCACCAAAGCCACCGCGTTTTCGGTGCCTCAGGTATATGGTTTTCCGGCTGCTAAGCTATGTGGCCGCAGACTAGTGACATTCGAACATGCACCACTTCACCGAGTAGTGCTGAAGCTCAAGTCTTGCTCTAAGCCGTCGAACAAATGAGCACGGCATGCAGTGCTAGGGGACAAATTGACTGAGGCGCTGGCAAGAAGCACTTGCTCGACTGTTGCAGATGGCCACGACCTTACCACAATAAGGTAATCACGACTTCGAGAGTTAAAACAGTTGTCAAAACTTGAACCATGGCTTGCTCTCATAGAGCCACAGCTCTAGTTTATTCAAGCTCAGAACATGTCTCTTGCGGTCAGTGCTTGTCCGTGGCTTTTTAATGAAAGGTACTGCAAGAAAGAGCTGCAGCTGCGGTCACGCCATCGTTTTACGATAGCAACCACAGCTATCAGGTTTCTTTGCGATGACCGTTCAGCTGAAACCCTTCACCGCCAAGCCTCCAAAGACCTTTTTGCGCGCGCGCGCGCCCGCCGAGGCTGCGGTCACGCCATCGCTTTACGACAGCAACCATAGCTGTCAAGTGTCATGACTTGAATCTCCTCACCTAGAACAGCTATCGAATTCGATTTCATGTCTTTCAATGTGTCCACATCGGACTGTGTCCACTGCCTGACAACATTGCCTCCAACAGTTGAAGCTGCGGTCACGCCATCGTTTTACGATAGCAACCACAGCTATCAAGTTTCTTTGCGATGACCGTTCAGCTGAAACCCTTCACCGCCAGGCCTCCAAAGACCTTTTCGCGCGCGCGCGCGTTGTTGGGGGGTCAGAGGCCGAAGCCGGCTCCGGGGCTCAGGGGGGTCAGAGGCAGCAAAGCCGGGCTTCGGCCCCGGGCTGCTCCAGGCCGCTGCTTACATGTCGCGAGGCTCGTCTGCGGCATCTCGCAAAAACGCTTTTTTTTTGAAAATCCGAAGCATTTTCGAATGCTTCCACGATGACTGCTTTCAACGACAAAGTGAATTTGTGGTGCTCACACATCATTCTCTGCAAAGCAGCTAGTCACATCCCTAAGCGAAGTGCAAACTCCAGCGAAACAAACACTCAATGCAAACTTAGCTGGATGTGCAACTACATCGATCATTAACGGCCTTCCAGTGAAGAACTCTACATCATTTGAAGTGCTTCAACGAGTTACATACGTTCCGAAACGAGGTCACAGCCATCCAAGCAACAACCACGCAGAATCAAAGCCACGCCCTCCGCAGAATCACTCTGTCACACCCCGCGGGCCCTCGACCGGACGAGCCTACCTCATTTGAGCTCCTCTGTCTGTTTGCGGCCCTCCCGAAGCCCGCCGGAAGATACCAAAATTTCGTGTTTAAGGGCGCCCGCGCGGGCAACGCAGAATCAATCTGATAACAGTTCGCGCGGACCCTGTAATCAAAAGGGTAAGTTCGGGAGTGGGTTTGTGGACATAGTTTGACCTCTCCCGTCCATCTAAGGCCCTCCCGCGGCTCCCCTGGAAGAACAGTTTCCGCATGAAGGGTCGCAGAATGCAGAATCAATCTGACACAGTTCATGGGGATACTGTAAGCCTTCAGGTGGGCTCAGGAGTGGGTTTGCGGACATAGTTTGACCTACCCTGTCCATCTATGGCCCTCCCGCGGCTCCCCTTGAAGACCATTTTCTGCAGGAAGGGTGTGCGGATGTGATTCTGCATTCTGTGACCCTTCATGCGGAAACTGGTGTTCAAGGGGAGCCGCGGGAGGGCCATGGATGGACAGGGGAGGTCAAACTATGTCCGCAAACCCACTCCCGAACTTACCCTTTTGATTGCAGGGTCCGCGTGAACTGTTGTAGGGTTGATTCTGCGTTGGCCCCGCGGGCCCTTTCAAACACCAAATTTTTGGTTTGAAAGGGTATCTTCGGGAAGGGCGCAAACAGACAGAGGAGCTCAAATGACGTAGGCTCGTCCGGTCGAGGGCCCGCGGAGTGTGACACAGTGCTCCGCTGAAGGGTGTCGCCTTGATTCTGCGAAGCGTGTCGTTTTGATTCTGCGTGGTTGTTGCTTGGATGGCTGTGACTTCGTTTCGGAACGTATGTAAGTCGTCGAAGAACTTCAAATGATGTAGAGTTCTTCACTGGAAGGCCGTTAATGATCGATGTAGTTGCACATCCAGCTAAGTTTGCATTGAGTGTTTGTTTCGCTGGAGTTTGCACTTCGCTTAGGGATGTGACTAGCTGCTTTGCAGAGAATGATGTGTGAGCACCACAAATTCACTTTGTCGTTGAAAGCAGTCATCGTGGAAGCATTCGAAAATGCTTCGGATTTTCAAAAAAAAAGCGTTTTTGCGAGATGCCGCAGACGAGCCTCGCGACATGTAAGCAGCGGCCTGGAGCAGCCCGGGGCCGAAGCCCGGCTTTGCTGCCTCTGACCCCCCTGAGCCCCGGAGCCGGCTTCGGCCTCTGACCCCCCAACAACGCGCGCGCGCGCGAAAAGGTCTTTGGAGGCCTGGCGGTGAAGGGTTTCAGCTGAACGGTCATCGCAAAGAAACTTGATAGCTGTGGTTGCTATCGTAAAACGATGGCGTGACCGCAGCTTCAACTGTTGGAGGCAATGTTGTCAGGCAGTGGACACAGTCCGATGTGGAAACATTGAAAGACATGAAATCGAATTCGATAGCTGTTCTAGGTGAGGAGATTCAAGTCATGACACTTGACAGCTATGGTTGCTATCGTAAAGCGATGGCGTGACCGCAGCTTCGGCGGGTTAGGGCGATCTTGTGGTTCTTTGCGTGGGGGATTGATCTCGACTTGGTTGCTGCTCTCCCCACCAGAGCTGTAATGAATATAGGTGTGGCTGGCTAGCACTCTCCACAGACTGGACCCTGTCTCTCCCTCTTACTCCCACACGTGCAATCCTATGCAGGCAGAACCGGCGGCCGTTCCTTTTGCACTCACTGCCGGCGGCGGTTCGTCTGTGCAACGGGATAGCTCTGATTGCTCAGGATAGAAGACACATATAGCACTTAGCTATGGGCATTGACTTGAGCCAAACGTTGCGTTGGCGGTCACATAGAAAGGTAAAGATGAGGGATGCGTAGCATGCCCCCTAGAGTCGAGGGACGCGTAGCGTGCCCCCTTCTCTTGCACTTTACACGGTCTTGCTCACAGCTCTTATAGTGACACCTTAGAACATGACAAGGCATCGCAGTCCGTTCGCACCCCCCATGAGTTGCGTCTCCGACGCTGCTCACCCGGAAGATGGCACGATAGGACAGAAGAAAATTCCGCCGCAACGTTGACTTTTGAAAATCAGAGCTTTGTATCCCAATTATAAACGTTGTGACACTCATCTACGTCGGTAACGATCCCCTGAAATGACAAACGAATCAGGCGTCACCGAAGAAAGAAGCATTCGCGATGGCATTCCACGGGCGAAGCTCAGAGGTCACGAACTGATAGGCGAGGAAGATCAGGCGTTGTCTCGCCACCATCTTCGCGTTGACGTAGGATCGCGGTCCCAGGGCCGGAGGTTCTCCTCTGGATACTGGTTCCTTGGCTTTCCTTTGTCCTTGCCTTTGTTTCGGCCTTTGGCGGCGATGTAGTCGTGGTAGGAATTGGTGTTCCAGCCACCATGTTGCTCGCCTCCGGTTCTTCCACGCCCTTTTGAAGGTCCCTTGGATGAAGAAGCGCTTTCACGTTCCTCTGTAGTGACAGGCGTGTCCAGGATGGATGTACCACCTGGAGGAAGATAGTCAGCAGCCGAAATGTGATGTAGGGCTTCCGTACGCTTTGTCGTCGGGTTTTGCTGTCTCTCAGTTTTGGATCTGTTCAATCTGTCCATGAAATGCGCAGGCATTTGCACACTGTGGTCCACCAGCAAGGCGATGGTCTGGACTGACTGATCAGAATGAGTCAGCAGAATACCGACGGGGTCGATGTACAAGAAGTCCACTGGTCCAGTTGGCGTTGGTCGTAGCACTGAGAATTGTTGGTGTCCCGTCACCATTGGGATCACCTCGCATAGGACGTTCAGGCAACAAAAGTGCATAGCCTTTACATCTTCATCCCTGTCGCTCTTCAAGTAAGTAGTAGGGTTGAAGTTGTCCCTGCCAATTCCCATCATGTTGGCTCCCCGTACAAGTAAAGAAAGCATCTGGTTCGTCCGGAAGCGCTTCAAGGTGTAAGTCCCGTTGGGATCATACTGTTTGAGGTTCTCAGGTTCCTTTGCAAAGCGAATGATCTCCTCATCAGTCACGTCCCTGCTCACACCCGTTTCCCTATCCACTGCCGCCAAAGATCCCCACTTTCCAAGCACATCATAGCGTTGGCCAAGTGCGAAACTTTCCCTCATCTGAAACAACGGCATAGTCGCCCACTTTGCGAATCCTGACCAAGCCTTGTAGATGGATCTGCATACCACGTATGCCATGTACGACAGAGCGGTCATGTTCGCGTCAATGCAATGGGCATTTCGCTTTCCAGAATAGTAAGATGGCTGCATGGCGGTACGTGCAAGTTGTAGCTCAGGATCGATGTTCAAAGACTGGCCGGTAATGAAGACGGGACGACGTTCCTGTGCGATTGCTTCTGGAACTGCGTCATCAAAGTCCTCTCCAGGCTCGACGTCCATTTCTTCATCAGGTTCCTGTTCTGGATCGTCTTCCGCGATGACAGACGGTTCTGGGATTTCTTCAGGTTCCGCAACGGTCTCTACCTCCATGGCTTCCTGCTCCTCTTCGGGCGCCTCAGGCACTGCAGCTGCTGCGGCTTCCATTGTCTGAGCAATGAAGTCACTGGGGATCTCCGTAGGAGTCTCCCGTTGTGGAGAACC